GTAACTTAATACATTTCAACCGTTAGATTTGTAATAAATGATCAGCGTGTACATTTAAGTTAAAATATATATTGTACACGTGTCACAATCTGATTTATTTTTATATATTTAACGGTTGAGATGTATTAAGTTACCATAACTTTATTTCCCCAAAGTCAGAGAATCCGGATCCAGAAAAAATAGACACATCAAAATGCTCAGCTACATTTATAAAGAGAGAAAAACTAATATAAAAAAGTGATAGATTACAAGAAATATTACGTATTTTGAAATATAAAAAAATATTTTTATAAAGTATGATATATTTAAGTATAATTTTATTTAACATATAATTATATATAATTTTAATGTTAATTTTGAATAAAATTTAACAATAAATATTACGTGTCATTTTATAGATATACTTTTAAATAATATATTAACTTATATTATATTTATAATATAAATAAAAATAATTTTTAATAAATATTATGTTATTATAAAATGCGTATTACTATATAAATTTTTTTGTAACGTGAAATTGTTATCAACAAATATATCATTATCATGATAGGGAAGAGTCTTAAGATTGTTTGAGTATATGCGACAAATTACAAGTTCAAAATGAATAAGACAATTACTAAAGTTGGTATAGTAATATGATTGAGATAATATGAAAAAATTGCTTAAATTCTAACATTGTTATAATACTTGCTAATTAAAAATTAAAATGGCCAATTAATGGCTTGCAGGAAATTAACCAGGTGAAAGCCACAAGGTCGTGTTAATGTGTTATACTCACAAAAGAGTAATCCATTAAAAAACAATCAGCTTGTAACATGAAATACGAACAAACGATCTTGGAAACCAACAATGTACGAACAACTTATATGAACCATAATATTCTTATGGGATTAATTCACCCTCTTTGTAATTCTTGTGTTGAAACAGTTTCCTGTATTCTGTTTTCATGCCCTTTATTTGACTGCATTTGGAAGCTCTATTATGGGTGGATTTCCATTGCTAAGGTCCTTCCAGCCGACAGAAGACAACATTTTCTACAACATATGGATACAAGGTTCAATAGAGACCAGATGTGGAAGAAAATTTGGGGGCAGTAGATTGGTGCATTAATTTGGAAGCAATGCAATCATTGTCTTTGGGAATGCCTATTAGTGTGATATATTACACATGCTAATTTTTCTGCTGGTTCCGAAGAGGGGGTTGAGATATATGCATATGCTAGTGGATGTTAGCATGTTGTATCTATCTGCTATTATAAGTTCTGATCTTAAAGTGTCATGTTGGAAGGGTGCGTGTATAAGTGTATTGATGGTGATCGAATCATCTTGAATTTGTCTTGGTAAGAGGGTCTTTTAAATTGTTAGCTGCAATTTATTTCTACATAATATGTGAGATTTCAATAGCATAGAGGACTGGTATTTGCATTAAGGGATGATATATTAAGTTAGTAGTTAGTGGGGCCTTTTTTTAAGGTGAGCCTTGGTTAGCATGTAATTTGTACTTCTTCAAATGCAAATTATCTCTAACCTTGAGTGATATAATATTTTAACTCTGTCATTATCTTTTTATTGGATTTTTGGTACCCCTTTACCTTTTATATAAAATTTGTTGGCAGATAAAAAAAAAAAAAAAAAAAAAAAACTTATATCAAGCTCTAGCATTTTTATGCATAAATTATAATCCAACAATGTTCACATGGGTTGGCATTTATAAACATATGAATGTCGGAGAATATAGTAACATATTAAAAGTGGTTTTTCCCAAATTAAGATTTACTAAAATATTGAAAGAAAAAAAATTAATCCACCTATATATACATGGAAAATGAAATCACTAAATTTTTGTAAATTACTTCACTCAATAACTTTTGCTCTACACTAAATTTTAATAATTTAACCATTAAATTAAAAAATGTATAAATCAAGTTTACAATTTTTTTTTTTAAAAATTTGAAAAATTATTTAATATTTTATGTTATCAATTCAAATTAATAAATATTCATAAAAATATTTAATACATTAATTTAAATTTATTTAACGAAATATCACATGCTTTTCAACTTTTTGCAAAAAAATTGTAGATTTAACTAATGCATTAAGAATTAATTTAACTATTAAATTATTAAAATTTAATATAGATTATAAATTATTGAGTAAAGTAAATCTATTAAGACTTATTCTTAAAATAAGTAAGTTACTCTTTATATGTGTATGTATGCACGTAGAACAAAATCAAATAGTAGCATATTAGAAAGGTTCCAATAATCCAATTGGTCCCTTCCTTTTTTTTTATTTTTATTTTTTTACAGACAAACTTAGAATTAGGAGGTATTTTTGATAAAGAGGGCAATTTTTTCATGTCTAGGAATCATAATTTTTTATGATTATGATTCTTAGAAATGATTAGAACCTATTTTTATTTCTTTGATAGGTAAATGTTAGCAATTAGTGTGATGTTAGTTAGAGGACTCAAGTCCACTCTCTTCTTATCACTCTAGCTTATCACTCTAGCTTTATGTCTTTCCTCCAAACAACCTACAAACCACCTTATAACTCCTTATGATTAAAAGTTGTTTGGTCAATTATAAATATTTTTGTGAATATTTACATATGTTACTTGAGAAAAAAAATTATCAAATTAAATAAGTAAATAAAGGTAAATTGATATTTTTATCACAATAAAATTTTTCTTTTAACTTGAAAATACTAGATTTTCACTTCTCAATGAGAACAATAAACCAATCATAAAAAAACTATATTTTTAACTACAAATTCTTGAAATAGTAAATGAACCAAGTCAGGTAACTTGTGATAAAGAAGTAAGATAATTTTTTAAATTAGTAGAAAAATAATTTTGTTTGATTGTGTGGAAAGTAAAAAAAAGAAAAAAGAAAATACACACACATTATTAGGAAAAAAAAGTTATTTTTTTTTCTTTGGTTGTGTGAAAAGTTAAAAGAATAAAAAAATAAATATTCTCATCACAACACAACAATCAATAAGTCATTAATTGGTTCAAACCGCACTCGATCCTCTTAAGAAAGGTGGTGAAGTCAAGTGAATATTTCATATCAATAACATGAATACTTAAAAAAAATTTCCAGACATAATAACATAAATAATCTATACAAGAGAAAAATATATGTTTAGCCTCTCTAGAATTTTTGGAACTTGATTTTGGTTCCTTGAAAAATTTGGGACTATTTTAGTCATTCTAATTTGAAAATGAACTACTTTTGATCTTAAAAATGATTTAGATAATACTTAAAAATAATTATAAAGTGATATTTAAATAACTTTGAGGATAAAAATGATGTATTTTTAAATTAGAATAACTAAAACAAAACAAATTTTTTTTAATGACTAAAATCAAGCTTCAAAAATTTTAGAGGGAAGAAAAAGATATTTAACCCTATATATAATAACATAAATACTATTTATTAAGAAATGAAGTGTACCAATGAATGTATAAGTAAATTACATATATAGATGAATAATTTTTACATAGAAGATTGTTTATATATATATATATATAGGGAGCATATCAAGTGAGAGGAAATTTATTATGAGATATGGGAGGGTTAAAATATAACCCTTTGATTAATTTCTTCTCATTTGATTGAACCCCAAATTTTCTCTCGCTTGATTAATTTAAGGGTTATACTTTAACCTTCTCATCTCTCATAATAAATTCTCTCTCACTTGATATGCTCCCTATATATATATATATATACTTTTTCCTTACAATATATTTTTTTATATTTTATATGGAAGAATATAATATAATTTTATATGATATTTTTTTTGTTTAAAATTTTTTGTCCTATCACAATTATCCTAACTTATTGAGTTAGAGATTGTTATGATTATTATTAGTCAAAAAGATTTTCGCACATGTTAAAATTAATCGTATCATGTATGAAAACACTTCGAACAAGTGATAATCACACTAGCCTCAACAAAATTTATTTTTCACTTAATAGACTAGCGATACTTGTGATTGGAAAAAACAATACAGGATACCAAGAATAGAATCATCCGGTTAAAAAGCTCATGACCTTAGCAAGCTAACCTTATATGAGTTTCTTTGATCATTTAAAGTCCATGAAGTCTACTTAAACAAGAAAAAATATTAGAAAACTCCATCACTCTATAAATTGAAAGCTCCAATCAAATGAAATTAGTGAGGAAATCAACGTCAACCGTTTTGAAAGTTAAAAGGAAGAATTTGAGAGCTCTCGCAACTTTTTAAATGATGGTTAAAAGTCCAACAAGTTTAAGAAAACATGAAGAAAAAAAAAAGAGACAAATATCATCTTAAAATGAACGATAAATATAGAAAAAGGAAAGTACTTAAAAGATGAAACCAATGGCATCCACTTTGAATGCACATTTTGAGGGGTTAAAATAACATACTATTGTGTCTTAATTAACTCTTCCATGCAGCCGCATTAAATCTTGGGGCAAGCTATTTTATTCTTTGAGGTGCCTCCAACGTAGCGAGGAGATTAGTCACTGCTATCAGCGGTGGATACTCCAGGAACGAACCAAAAAAAAAAAATTAACTCTTCCCCTTAAAAAAATCAAGTATATTTTAGTAGAAATTAGCTTGATAATTTTTTTTAATTAATGTTAAAAAGTATAAATTTAGTTAAAAAAAAAAAAAAAAAAAAGCCCACCAAAAGTCTTGCTTGAAACCATTTTTTACACAAGTGATCAAATAAAACTCTAACCATTTTCAATGGATAATAATAATAATTAAACCTATAACCTCAAACAAATTATTAAAATAATATTCTATACAATAATTACTCAAATTCTTCGTCAGAATCCAAATCCCAGTGGCGTAATAGCACCCTTAATGTTAAGACATTGTTTATATAGAGTTTACACAACTTTAAATCACTTTACATATTGCTATATGTGAGTACAATAAAGTGTGTGATTTATTAAATACTTAAAAGGAGACACATTGTTTGTTACCGTTGACACGAGCCTGCGCTGTAGTGGGCCCGGGGACAGTGAGTTTCGAAAATCAAGGCAAAGAATTCGGTCTCAGCACAGGGCAAAGAAAGAACAACACAACACGACACGACCGTTTCTGGTTACTATTTACTTCCCACTTCCACTTCTTACAAACACCCAACATCAACCTATTCTCGCTCTCTTCTTTTTCTTCTTGTTTTTGTTTGTTTTTCCACTCTTTGCTGTGTTTCTTTTCTAAGCTACCCTCTCCATGGAGCTTTCCCACGCGGCGGCCAACCGCTCTGAGCCGGGTTTCAGGGCGGAGATCGACACATCGGCGCCCTTCGAATCGGTGAAGGAAGCCGTCACGCGGTTCGGCGGCGTTGGTTATTGGAAACCCATTATTCATGGTCTTAGTAATACCCACTTTGTTCCTCCTCAGGTAACGTTTCTTTTTTTTTTTTTTTCTTTTTTGTCGTGCTCTTGAAAGGTTTTTGATTCGTATAGTGACGGCATTGTGCAAGTGAAAACATTGCTGGAAAAAGGTTGGACCTTTTTCTGGTGTCGTGAGATGAAATGGGGTTTTGCTGTTTTTATTATTCTTGTTTTGTTGATTAAGCGAATAGTGTTTTGTCGCCTTTCTGTTCAAAGTTTCGGTTTTTATTTTTGTTATTGTTGGTGCTTTTTGTTCTGCTGAGTCCTTGGGTGGCTTGGATCTAAAGAGTATTTGTCTAAAATAGTAGAATATTATAAATTATAAATATTATAGATGGGATTTTAGGTAGGAAGTGGATGGCTACATTTTTATTTTTTTTTGTAGGAAGTAAATGTAACTTCAAAACTCATTTGTTTGTTTATTTATTTATTGTGTCTTTCTATTGGTTAGAAATTACAATGACGCAACAAGTTGGAACACACTCGAACTTAGTACCTTGTGAGTTGTTTATATTTTTTTAAACTTATACAAGGTTTTAAATTGCAGTCACAGTTTGTGACATATATATTTTTCACTTGGTTATATTTTTTTCAAGACTTATACAAGGTTTTAAGTTGTAGTAGCAGTTTGACTGTTAATCAATCATGGTTATGATAATTTCATAGGCTTTTTTCCTTTTAGTTAATTCTGAAGACAAGATTGTTTACTAACGCAGAGCTAAGTAGTTCTCATATGATTGATTTCTCCATTTAAGATCAACTAGAGTGAATTTTGGCTTTGTACTAGATACTATAGTGGCTCATTTGGTTTATTAAAGGTTTTTTTTTCTTTCGTTAATTTGATTACGTATTCTTAAGCATCTGTATTGAGTTAAACAGTGAAAGCTTCTCTCTTCCTTTTAGCAGCATGACACAGAAGAGCTTGACGCTGGAAAGCTGGAGGAGCAAGCTGGTATGTTGGAGAAAGAGCTGATCCTGAAAGAAAGGGAAACTCTTGATGTCTTAAAAGAGTTGGAAAGTACCAAAAGGCTTGTGGAGAATTTGAAAACAAAGCTACAGAAAGAAGAATCCATGGCGAATTTGAATTTTCAGATGAGTGTGTGCAATGATATATCTTCTGTTAAGGAAGATGAGAAGGAAGATAAGGAAAACCAAGTGAGTAATGTTGTTCATCATTCATCGTCCCCGGGTTTAATATTAATGGAATTGAAGCAAGCGAAGTTGAATCTGAACAGAACTACAAGTGATATTGCTGATGTTCGTGCTTCTGTTGAATCACTCAATAAGAAGTTAGAGAATGAAAGACTGTCACTTGAGAAAACCCGTGAGAGGTTAACTCAGAATTCTTCAAAGATATGTTCTCTTGAGGAAGAGCTAAACCAGACAAAACTAAAACTGCTAGTGGCCGGTTCAGATAACCCTTCGGACATTACAAGAGAGCTTCAGCGTTTAAGTTCTGAGTCAGAGCATTTCAAGAAATTGGGAGAAGCTGCAAAATCAGAAGTCTTGAAGGCAATGTCTGAGATTGAACAGACAAAAGCTATGATCAAAACTGCCGAAATCCGGCTGGTTGCTGCCCGAAAAATGAAGGAAGCTGCTAGAGCAGCAGAAGCTGCGGCCCTTGCTGAGATCAAGGCTTTATCTCATCATGAGAATTCACCTGGAGATGATTGTGTGCAAAAGCATGATGGAGTTACCCTTTCCTTTGAAGAATACACTGCTCTTACGTGCAAGGCACGAGAGGCAGAGGAACATTCTAAGAAGAGAGTTGTTGATGCAATGCTTCTAGTTGATGAAGCAAACATATCAAAAATGGACATTTTGAAGAAAGTGGAGGAAGCCACAGAAGAAGTTAAGACCAGCAAGAAGGCTCTTGAAGATGCTCTAGAAAGGGTAGAGGCTGCAAATAGAGGAAAGCTAGCCGTTGAAGAGGCTTTAAGGAAGTGGCGATCAGAGGGTCATAAACGTCGTTCTTCTATACATAGCTCTACAAAGTTTAAAAATGCTTACCCTTCCCATAGGAAGGGTTCTTCTCGGTTACTTGATGTCAATGGGGTGAATCTGTTGAATGATGAAGCCAAGCCTGTTCTGAAGCCAACACTGTCTATAGGGCAAATATTGAGCAGGAAGTTGATGATGCCGGAAGAGTATGAAGCCGCAGCGATGCTTAGAGAGCGAAGCTCGGTGAAACGGAAGGTATCTCTTGGTCAGATGTTAGGGAAACATAATGCAGATCCATCCTTTGACAGGCAAGCTGAGAAGGAAAATGGTCAGAAGGTGTTTTCTGCTAAGAGAAAGAAATTTGGATTTGGTCGATTCTCCCTTCTTTTGACAAAACAACAAAAGAAGAAGAAGCCAACACTGAACTTGAGGTGATGGCTTGCTTGATCATCTTGTGCTGAGTGCTGACAACTGAGACTATATTTATTTGCATCTCTATCTGTTCCATCTCTTCCTCTTATTGTGCTTGCTTGACTAGATTCTTGTTTGTTGTGTTTACCTTGCTTGTATATTAACTGAAGTTTGTCCATGCTACTTGTAGAGATGATTTATGGGAATTAAACTCTTGTAATGTAAGTTGATGATGTTATAATTCTAATATGCCTGAGATTGTTTTATTCTTAATATTACCTGAAGTTTATCCATCACTTGGCAATTGGCGTGCTACTTGTAGAGATGATTTATGTGAATTAAACAATTATTCTCATATGCCTAAGGTTGTTTTATTCTTGATATGTTCATACACATATATTGGCTTGTGGGCTTTACATCAGTCTGATTCATGGTCAAAGATTGTGTTGAAGGCTGGGATTACTTTCAATGGTAACTTTTCTTTATGCACTTGAATCCTGAGGTTGAATCCAAGATCACGTTTAAAAGACCAAAGCTCCATTGTCTCGAGTTTTGGTATTATGAATTGTATCAAATGAGGTGAAAATGTTCACCGAAGTTCAGTCTAAAACATCTTGGAACATGGGTGTAAAATTTCATAAAACCATTTTATTCTTAGACCTATGTTTGTGCCTTAAAACTTTTCATGAAGAAGATAGAGATTATTTTCTATATTAAAGAAATATTGAATGCTCTTGCATCCATAACGATGAATGTGATTTTGAGGTTGCTAAATGTTTTCTATTTTTAATTGGTTAAAATATTTCTTTAGTCTTTATAGTTTTATTTATTTTATTTTTTAGTCCCTACTAGTAGGGTTACCCATGTGATATAGATTATTAATTTAAAATATATTTTATATAATAATATATACTAAAACACTATTTTTTATTAGTTTGATGTTTTAAAGTGTATTTTAGAACTTTGAAACTATTATTATGTTTATTTTATAATAATAGAAAAAGTTGATCATGTTACATTTATACCAAAAGTTATTAGTTTGAATGGTGTGATATTTATGCTCTTTAATCAAAGATCAAGATTTGATCTTAAACCATAAATTTTAAATCCTAAAATTATTCAATTGATAAAATATCTTAATCGTGATAATACACTATGTAAGTTTTTAAGAATAACTTAAATTTTATTCCTTGAAATAATACAACTAAATAAGATTTAAGTAAACGTAAATTTTGACTTGTAACACGCCAAATATAATATAAAGTTAATCATTCTTTTAAGTTGTTTGATATGTAACATTTTTCTCATTCATGGGTTAGCTAAAAGATATATCATATTGTTTATTTAATCTACTACTTGAATAAGATTTTCAAAGCTTAACATAACAATCTAAAAAAAACCCCGAAAGAAATGTGTTGTTAAAATGTATACAATGAGGAATAAAAAATCAATAACACATTGGAATTTATTTAACATATTTTATAAAATTTATAAATCAAATGAAAGGATAATAATGAATTAAAGAGTCAAAATTTAAATTTTTTGCTTCATACAAAAATTTCATAAAATATAAAGATAATTTATGAATTCACGGGTAAATTAATAGGTATTTCAAATAATTTTGAATGTTTTACAAAATTTTTTAGTTTTACTTATATAAGTAATAAAGATTTTTCAATGAAAAGTCATTTCCTTCAAATCATTGATGTAGAAACGATTTTCAAATGAAACAACAAATAATTATCAAACAATGATAATATGTAAAACATATCATGTATCCATGACCTCTCAATATTAACATAAATAAAATGATATATATATATATATATATATACACACAATGAAACAATGTTATAAGACTTGATTTAGATCGATCGGTCCAACTATTGTTTGACTTGGGAATTAGCCATTTAACCGATCTGAGCTAGCTAATGGATTGATGATGCTTTCAACCTAGTGCGACTCGATTTGACTTGACAGGTTTAGCTGACCCAACTGGGTTAATACATTTATTTATTTATTTTAGCAATACAATGTTTGTGGCTCTCCTTTGTTCATGGCTCTCTTTTGTCACACAATTTCAACTGCACCCCAAACACTTGTTGTCTCTCCTATCTCTTAGTTGTGCACTCCAACAATGACAGTGCAACCTTGTGGTGTGGTGCGCTCATTATCCCCTCATTGTACAACAACACAACCTTCAACATTTGTCATTATTCTTCATTTGTCATCACTATACATCAATGCATTCATCACCTGCTCATCGCACAACACCATGACATTATTCTAGTGCATTAGTCATTAACTACATTTTAATTTTAATTTTATGTTGTTTATTGCTTGTTGGTTGAATTGGACGGAGGTTGCTTTGTTTCTACTTGCTTGTGCATGAGTTTTTATTTATTTTTTTATTTTGTTTATTATGTTACTTAGTTCTTTTGATATTCTGATTTGATGACTGTCTATAATCTTAAAAATTTTAATGTCTCTATTCATGAAAATTTTATAATATCTTTTTACTTGTTTGTAATATTTTTTTTAAAGCATAAATTTTACATGTTTTCAATTATTTATGATTTTTAATGTAGACTGAGTCATGTGGGTCAATCAGTGACTTAATGGTTCGGCTTCTAATCCATTGACTCGATACTTCGACCAAGTTGCCTACTAGGTTGAGTATGATAAAGTTGCAATGAAAAAAGAAAATAGAAAACACCAAATACATTAGAAATGTTATTCAAATGAAGCATCAAATAAATCACTTAGGAATGAAAAAAAACATATAATGGTGAAAATATGATGATTGAAGGTTGTTTATATAGGTTAAAATTATGTGATGAGAATAATTTCATGAGAACGAAATATATATAGCCACACTCTTTTGGGAATGGTTCTTTAGTATTTAGTATTTTAAATGATAATCATTGGAGGATTTTTACTAGTAAATTTTTTTTTCTTCTACATGTATATTTATCGAAGAAGTTGTTCACTTTTGGAGAATGAAAAGTTTATTGTCTTGTTTTGTAATATTTAGTGTTATAAATGATATTCATTGAAGAATGTTTATTAGTACATTTTATTTTTGTTACATGAATTTATTGGAGAACTTGTTCGCTTTATATATATTAAAAATATGATAGCTATACACACATAAATACATACATACGTGTGTATATATATAGACACACATATGATAAAAAAAACTAGGAGAAGTACCACAAAATTGGGAGAATGTGGTATATGAGGACTTTAGATAGAGGGAGAAATAACAATATCTATTAAGATAGATGGAGTTTAAATATATCAAATACATCGTTTAAAATTCTTTCGACAATTAAAGGAGTACGATTCTTCCATATGTAAAACGTATATATTGTATTAAATTATTTAAATGTGTTAAAAATACTTTTAATTCACTAAAAAAATTTGATTTTTCATTAATGATAAATTGTAAATTAAATAGAATAAATATATTTAAAATTCTTTCAACAATTTAAAGAGTATGACTCTACTGTATCTAATATATATTACATTCAATTATTGAAATATGTAATTGCTTTTAAATTGTAAATTGTAAAATTAATATAAATATATAGGGGAGTTATAATTACACTGGTGTAACTTTTATTAAGTATTACACCCCTTAATAACTTTATATTAATTGTGAATTTTGTAAATTCAACCGTTAGATTGAAAGTTCATATCACTTTATACGTGTATATCAAATTTTGTTAAAATTGGACAACAACTTGAAGGTAATCAAAGTGTTCATATATTAGTGTATTTTGAAATGAATATATTACGTCAATTTTGTTTTATAAAAATTAAGTATCAAATCATCTTGAATTAATATAAAAATTTGTATATATGATCTAAGAGATATGAACTTTCAATCTAACGGTTGGATTTACAAAATTCACATTTAATATAAAGTTATCAAGCGGTGTAATACTTAATAAAAGTTACACTGATGTAATTATAACCCCCTCATATATATATTATTAAACTTCAAATAGTGAAAAAAATCACTTGACATTAAATATTGCAACTCTTCTTCTTTTTTATATACAAAGATAAAGATAGTTTAAAATAGATTTTTTTTAGTCTTGATATTTATCTTTTTCATTATTTTTTTAGTACCTATAATTTAGGATAAATCTTTTTAGTCTTTTATACTTACACCTTTTTAATTATTTTAGTCATTATCATTAATCTTTTATAAAATTATTTATTATTATTATTATTATTTATATGACATGAGAATTAATTTAACTTTGTGTGTCTGATGTTGAGTTTATTTCACTAGAATTATTCTAAATTAGGTCTTTCGATGCTTTGTGTTTCTTTTGTATTTTTATTTGTGATGTTCATTATTGAGACATAATTGTTTTTACTCTATAAGTATAGGAAATAAAAAGATTTATTTAAACTATAGAAATTAAAAAGGATCGAAAAAAGAAGTATAAGAACTAAAAATATTTATTTTAGAGAAAGTGTTTTTAACACTTCTCTTTGGGATATATATATTTTTGGTTTCCTAAAATTAAAATTTTTATTTTTAGTTTCTATAATTTTAAAAAAATAGTTTTAATCTCTCAAATTTAGAATTTATCTTTTTAATTTTTATAATTTCAAAAAATATTATTTTATAATTTTGGATTATTGATATCAAAATATAAGTAGAGGGACTAAAATTATTTTTTGAAATTATAGAAACTAAAAAAAAAAGTTTTAAATTTAAGAGACTAAAATAATAATTTTTAATATTTTTAAACTAAAAATTAAAAAAAAATTTGGAGAAAAAGAATATATACCCAAAATTTAAAAAAATAAAAACATAATTAAGTCTTCCTATTTTACATTAACGAAAAAGTTATTTAAGCTTTTTTTTTCATTTGTAACTTGATCAACAATATAAGTAGTTTATCATAAATATGAAATATATTTTATATGTTCAAACATGCATATTTATTATGAATTTAAATTATATTATATTTATATATTTAAAAATATTATTTATTATAAATTTTAATTATATAAAAATAAAAATAAGTTGGACAAATTAAAATAATAATTTTATTAATCTCAAACTATTGATTCGTGTATTTGGTGGTTAATTTTAGATTAAATTATCTTTTTAATATCTTTTATAATATTATTGATCATTCAATTTTTTTAAAAAAAATTTACGATTGTAATTCCTGAATCTTATAAAATATATGCTATTTTAATTTTATCATTAAATATTTATAAGTTAACTGTTATTGTAATGTTAACAATGACATGATATTAAATAAATTATGTGATAATTAATATTTAAAGAAAAAAAAATATAATTTTGCTTTATTTATATATTTTAATTTTTAATGAAACTTCTGTTCTAAAAATAAAATCATACCTGGCATAAGAAACACCCAAATCGATCAAACCCCTATTAGAAAATTGAAAAGGTAAATATAAATAATTTAAAAACAAATAATTCGACGTTACAGGAATCATAATCATAACCATCTTTCTTTGTCACCCTTTCCTTCTTCTCCAGCTCCTCATAGGTTTAACACGTTACCCTATTTCCTTTCTCAACAGGCAATCTTCTACTCCTATTATGTCATTTGTTATGAAACCATAGTTTCTTCTCTTATCATAATTCCCACCTTATTCATGTTTGTTATTCATTCCTCTTTATATAGATCTGAATTCAATATCAATATATTATATATAAGCCTTTGTTCTTCTTCTCTTGATCATGCAATTGCACTGATTAATTTTTTGTTTTTATATTGATTGGTTTGATATCTCAGAGAAGTTTCTGCTCACAAATTATTATTATGTCACGTACTTTATCACAAGGTTTTGCACCTCAACATATATGGCGTATATTATTGTTACAAATCTCTAAGTAAAGAATATTTAATTGATAAAGTTCTTTTATCATGTTGAAAATATAACTTGATGTGGCATGCATTCGTTATAATATCTTTAATTAACATTTGTTTTTTAACTGCTTGTCACAGGCATCATGGAGGGAAGAGTGGGGCTATTGTTTCTTATTTTGTTGGGTGCTGCTTGGGCTTGTGATGCAAGAGGGCTAGCAAACTATGGTAAGATTGTTATAATGAAAATTTTTCTCATCTTTTTGCTTTTTAATATCCTTCTTAGTTAGATGGATAGTATGCAAGGTTTGTATTATTCACCCTCCTATTTATACATCAATCTAATAAGGTGGAAAGTTTAAGGAGTGGCATGTTAATCTTAGCTTTTAACCATATGGAAAACAGGAAGAAAAAAAGCTTGGCACTAACAACAATTTATTCACCATATTTTACCATTAAAACCAAATCAAAGTAGAAACAATGTGACGTTTTTATATTATCAGTGAAAATATAAAACGTTTTCTTATAACATGGTACCTGCCAGTTCCTCTCATTCATACCGATGAGAAAATGCTTTGCATTAAAAGCAGGGTGATTGAATTCCTCGTAATACAGTTTCAATTTCTGGTTGTATATACCAGGTTAATCAAGCATAATTGATTGAATTTCTATAATCGGTTTGCAGAGGTTCTTATGTAGTTATATAATATATTCACTTGATGGGAGAGGAAGAACAATCCTAATTCCCAACCGTTCATTCTTTCTTACCTTAAGCCTGACTAATGTGTGTCATTTTTAAAAATTTCCCTTTCTTTCATAGAAATATATGTATTTATAGATTAAGTTTTCAAATGCAAGACTTTTGATAAGTTTTAATACAAAAGGTGCCTATTTGTCAAAAATGCAACAGCTGTACGTTAGTTTTCATTAGAGCACTGGAGCAAAAATGTGACCTGATTTAACATATTGAGTAAATAATTATGTTAAATACAATTATACTTTTGAAGTAAAAATGCAGCATCAATACTAATTCCTGTTGACATATTTTCCATATGCAGAATTAAACAGAAAATCAGAATCAGATGTCTGTGCACTTTGTGAGGAATATGCTACCGAGGCACTTGATTATCTAAATGATAAAGAGAACCAGAGAAAGATCATTGATGCCCTTCACAATACTTGCTATCAGCTACTCTCTTTCAAGCAGCAGGTTGGTTTTCTTCCATTCACCTGTTGTATGTGTTTTTTCTCTTTAAATTTTGCATTTCTTCTCTCTTGATGCAAAAATTGACTTTAATTTCCAGTTATACCAATTAATATTCTAACAACAATCTGGGCTCAGCTTTTGTTTCAAATATAATAATTATACATATTTTAGTTCTCGTTAACAAAATAACTATTAAGACATAATGAAAGGGGTTAGGGAGAGTTAGCAGTTAGTTAGCATATAGATATACATAAATAGGATGGATTAAGGAAGGAAACTTCATTCAGATTTGTTACCACTAAACTTGATCATTTGCATTCTGAAAGGGAAACCTTTGGAAGAGAATTCTCTCCTTTTCTCTGTTGCCATTCAATATTGAATACAAGAAGCATTCTTTTCTTATATTATATTTTCGAGTTCCAAACATTAACACAACCAAGTTGTTTTTTAACCATGGACTTTCTTGGTTGAAACTTGTTAAAAAGTGATCTAAAACATAATAGTGGGACAATTAAGCAATTCTTACGAATTTATAGAGTGAATTTGTGAATGAATTGAAACCTATTAGACCCTTCGCTTACTAATAAATGTTTATTTTGTATTGCACAGTGCATCGAATTGGTGGATGATTATGCATCACATTTCTTCTCAGAAATCGCATCAGTTCTGCCTGGAGAACTCTGCAAACAGGTCCACCTCTGCCAATCTGCAAACGTTTCTTCACAAGTTAAAGGAAATAGCTGTGGCTCTTGCAAAGATTCTGTTGCAGCCTTATTGGTTAAGTTGAATGATCCTGACACCAAGGTTAGTAATTCAACCTGATAGTGTGAATCCCTCCTTGATATGAGGAGAATTTTATACACTTTCATATACCATAAATGATGCATGTTTTTGCACACTAGCAACTTAGACTTTTCTTTCTTCTTTTTGGGAAGCCTATTGTTTGCAGTGAAGCAAAAGAAATAATTCGATTCTGGTATGCATGTAGCATATGGATTTTTATGCACAAGTACAACATTTTAATATGAAACGTGTAATGTAGATTTTCATCCTATTTTGTTGGGAGAATGATGGATTTACAAAAAATAATGAGTAACCTATTATTAATGTTTGAAGTTTTTCTATAATGAAGACACATTCAGTGAAGAATGTGGCTTGCATCTTGCATGTGTATCAAGGAGCACATGCATTTACCTCATAATTTTTTTGAGTCTTTATTTTTTATTGCCTTTAGATTTTATTTATTCTTGCAAGGTATACACCCACCACTAAATTTTCATTTTTCCTTAAAAGCCTGCTATTCTACTATTTTTATTTTGACCCCATTCTGCAAATGTCTTGACCCCTTGTTATAGTCACCTTTTGTGGAATATAAAACTAACGATTTATTTTAAAATGTCAGCTTGAGATAATAGAGGCACTATTGACGGCATGCAATTCTATGGAGAAGATGGAGAAGAAGGTAAGAAAATTCTGCAAAATTTCATCTTTCTTTTTGTCTCTTATTTACTAAATTATCCTTGCATTCTTAAACACCACGTTGCATGGAATCTATCCATTGAATCCATAAAATGAAAAGTTTCAAATTATTATCCAGTTGGCTAAACAACCATAGTTCGATGCCCACAGTAATTTGCATGAAATGATAATCTTCGCTGGCGGCCTCCGTAGCTAGCCAATAATTGAGCATTAGCTAGCTAGTGTGACAATTCTTGACAGTATTGTCGTTGTATCATCCAGAGAATGGTCCAACCACATACATGAAACAATGGTACAGTGTTGGAATGGTACAGTGTTGGAACTAGATAGACTTTTTCCTTTTTATGGTATTAATTGCAAGTTTGCTACAAAGTTGTAATATCTACGAAGGAAGGATAATACTTGCTGAAGTCTTAGAGCATCTCCACCCTAGGTGTCTTATCCGTTGCTTAAAATAATAAAACTTATATACATTTCTTTGATTTGTTTTATGTGACATTGAATTAGAAGTGAAATTTGAACAAAATTTAGATGTAATACCATATATTGTGGGTGTTATTATCTAATCAAAATAAAATTATATTTTGATAATACATGTTGATATTTAATAAAAAAATATTACACCTATTATTAAGATAAAACTTAAATTTTAATTAGATAATAACACTAATAACATAGGATATTGCATGTAAAATTTATTCTTGAAGTCTCACCATGATAACTTATGTTGACCTTCCATGTAAATTATTATTATGCAAAATTATAGAAGCAAAATACTAACTTATGTGCTAAAATGGTAAGCTAAAGTGTAGGCAAAGCAACTTGGAACAAGCATTCTCTTAAAAGACTTGGTACCACTTGAGCTACTTCTTTCTTATTATTATTATTAGGCAAATACACACTTAATTAACAAACAGAAGCTTTGCAGTGATATTTTCATAATTAATTATTTCCTGCATATCTAAGGTTTTTTTTTGTTAATGGTCAAATTGTTTGCAGTGCAAGAGGATGGTTTTTGAGTATGGACCTATGATTCTAGTCAAGGCAGAGAAGTTCCTGAAAACAACAGATATATGCACTGTATTACATGCCTGCCCAGCTTCCATTGCAGTTAGTTCGGAAGCCTCATCCATGGAAGAAGTACCTTTGATTTCTGATTCTTAATCTTTGGAGAAGAGTTCTACAAGATATATGGAGCGCTTATGCTTTAGTTTGTACTCCTAATGTGTGATCTATATGCATTAAAATCCATGGTGCTTGTAACTATGTGCTCCTGGTATACTATAGTGTCTCATTAAATGTCCAAGTATATTATTGAGATGCCATAATTTTACTTGTATTTCTTTATTTTGATAGCATGCACCGAGTTAAGATGGCTAATTAAAGTCTTCTGTTTAAGCTCCAAAAAAGTATTTTTACTTATTAACAACGTTTTTCAAACATTTTTTTAATTAGTAATTACTTTATAGCTTAAAAAAAAGAAATTAAAGATAATTAGTTAAAGCAAATTTGCCAAAAAAAGAATTTTTTTTCTTCTATTTTTAAGATGATTACTGTATTGGATATGGTGTTCCAACAACTAGCCTTGCAATGGTTAGTGGTATATGGAGGTTTAGTGATTCTTTTAGGTCATTCGGAAACAATGTTCATAGAATGGGTTGAAAAGGGAGGCCACATTAGCACTTTAACATTGTTATTAACAAAGTTGGACGAAATTGATGAAAAAAAGACCAATTTGTTTAACATTTAAAGTTAGAGAATTAAAATAAAACAAATAAAATTTAAAGGCATTATAGAAGAAAAAAATTAATAAAGGACCAAAATGAAAAACAAAAATAGGATAGAAGATCAAACCACTAAATTTGTCAATTATATTCTATTGCGATTTTACTTTACTTTTTAATGTGAAAGTATTTGTTAAATAGTAAAGTAATCAACAAGCTTTTATTCAAGAATAAATTCAATAGAAGATAATAGTCAACTTATAAATCAGTTGACAAGTCAAGTCTAAATTTCAAAAAAATTAACCAAAAATTAAGTTCAAGTTTAAAATTAAATTTGATTAGTTTAAATAAATTAATTAAACATGAGCAGTCTTTTTTTTTTTTTTTTTCCCTCAAGTTAAACTTAGCTTTCAAATGTTTGACTCATTTCATTTACTATAAATAAGTAATTACTTTATTAATATGTACATCAACTTTATGAATAATTTACTACTGTTGCATCACCTCTTAAAATAAAGTAAAGGTTTAACTCAAAGTATTTAGTCATAACGTGAATAATAGAATTAATTATTATAAAAATAAGACCGTTTTAAAACTTAATGAGTTATTCACCCGGTCAAATTATTGAGTTAAACGGGATAGTTGTTGAACATTAATACTTTTTAAGAATCAGTTTATATATTAAATGCATGAAATTTACGCATTTAATATATAATGTACATAAATAAAGTTTAGCGCATATAAACAAATGTATATATTGGTGTAGTGACTAGCAAAGTTTTGGCAACCCAAGGATCTTGGGTTCACGTTCAAATTGAAAACGTGACCGGTTTGGTCATAAGTTCATTTTTGATTAAATTGATTGAGAGTTTTAATTAAAACACTACTAAAAAGAAAATTATTTAAATTATCACTTAAGGCAATTGAGTACTAATGATAAGAGTAAAAAGAAAAAGAAATTAAAACCATTAGCATTGACCTAATCATACAAAGATTTGTGTTTAATTTTCATCATCACAATTGTAATTTTTCTATCAATAAAAAACAAAAATGATAATTTGAGTTAAAGAGAGAAAAAAAAAAAAGGGTCGATTCCAATTATGACTTTATGTAGTAAAATTAGTGTATAAACTAGTTGAGAATTACGAGCAATAAGTTCAGAGTTGAAAAATTGAAATATTTTTAAGTTAATATTGAAACTCGTGACTAGTTAATACCTTCAAATTTATAATATAAAATTTATTTAATAAAAATTAAAAGAATGTATTGCTTTTTCATTGTTTTCTCTTTAATAATATTAAATAGAGGAAAATATTTTTTTTTTCTTTTTATTTTCCTTCACATCATTCTTTTGTATGTCTCTTAAGTATTACGGTCTTTCATTCTACTTTAATAATTCATTATCTTGGCCGCAAAATTATATCGGTAGGACATTTTAGACCATAAAATTTAAAGGAAAAGAAAAAGAACTTTGTTGGTCTTTTATTATGCAAAATGTCACTTGTGTTCATTTTTTTTTTACTTATTTGTCATTCTGATTTTGCAATTAAAAAAATATTTATCTTTGGGTCTTTCTTTTTCTTCCTTTATTTTTATTTTTATTTTTTTGGTACATAACTTCTTTTATTTGTTAACAGGAAAAGATATGTAAATTTAAAAATATAATTAATATTTTTATTTGTATTAAATTTTTATCAATTTTTTAAATGTAATATTCAATAACATATTCTTTCATTTATTATGAATGTAAAAGTATTTTAAGTAAGAATCAAGGACATAATTAAAAAGCACTCCAATAATTAATATTATCTTGAAAACTTAAAATAAACATGGTTAATAATGATAAAAGACATGCATCTATTAGAGCATCTATAATGGAGGTTGCTCTGTGCCACATCACTGCCAAATCAACTTTAGCTCACTTTATGGTTACTTAAATTTTAGCAGAGTTGCTTCTAGAATCAAAAGACTGGAATAGGGGTCCCGTCCTACCGACATGTAAAGTATAACAGACCAATAAATGCACGACACGCGTCTTATCGCCAACGCGTCTGTCACCTGTATATATGAACCACAGCACGGGAAGGCTTTAACTGGCTGGTGAAGATGCGAATAATCATCTGCCACGTGGCGAAACTTGATTGGACGTTTAGGGTTGGACTTGTTGTTAGACGTTGAGCCGTGTTTGGCGAAGCATGTGTGTTTATGTCTTCATTCATGGTACTAATTCTCTCACCCATCCCAACACCCAATTTAACTTTGTTTTCTCTTTGTCCCATGCCAACAAGTGGTACTATTAAGGTTTTAAAAAATCAGCAAAAGGTTTGAATCATAAATTCAATTTTAATCCATTTTAATAAATAAATAAAAAAAGGAACGATCCAATGTATTTTGTTTGACCTAAAATAAAACGAATTATTAGTATCAACATGGTAGTAAAAATTAAAATAATGTGTGCAAAATTCTAAATTTTATTAATAAAAAATATAAAATAAATTTTAATACCAGACTTTTATAAAAATTAATAAAACATAAAATTGGAGACCTTGTAAAGAATAAAATTAATTTTTTCTTCAATAATATTTAAACTATTTATAAAAAATACTTTAATTATCTTTACATTAAATAAAAGTTATGTAATATTAATATTATATATATATATATAAAGATTGGAGCCTAAAGCAAGAGAATTTGTTTGGTTTTATGCTTAGCTCTACCTGAATAAAAATATTATACTTTTTATTATATATATATATATATATATATTAATTTTAAGTTTTCTTAATATTTAAAAGTATTTATTGACATGATCCTAAAAGAATATAAGTAATATTTTATACACAACAAAAATTATACAATACAATATTTTTATCACTTTTGTATATATCTCTCTATTATTAATAATATCTCTTCATAATAAATAAAGAAAATGGAGAAAGATAGACACAAAAATGATGTATAAGTTGTTATGCTCACACAAATGATGTAGCATTACTAAAAAAAAATATAGTTAAACTTTTTTTTTTAAGGATAATTTGACATGACCTTTTGCACAATAATAATATTTAATTTCTAATTTTATCTTTTTAGTGGTGGCATTTGAAATTTCTTATTCTCCTATTTAGACTTTTTTTTCTTCTATTAGAATCAAACTTGGTATTGAAAAAGATAATTTATATCAACTATACACTCTATTCAACCAATTCAACCAATTAGCTTATACTTAAGCTTCTACATTTTCAATCTAATATTTGATCTCCAAATATTTGTTTATTTTTTACTCTCTAATTGTTATTGCAAATTATCTCATCATTTTATTATAATTTAACTGTTCACATAGTTAGATTGATAAAAAAAAAGTCATAATTTTATGTTAAAAAAATCAATTTTTAAAAAATACATAATCATAAATTATTATTAAAGTAATTTAATACTATATTTTCTTTAATTAAATATTGATATTCAATTTATAGTTTGGACATGAAGTTATTAATAACAATACTACTTTACTCCTATAAATAGAGGCCAACCTGGTAGAAAAAAAAAAATATACCTCATTGTTAAAAAAACATATCTATCTCTCAAATAATAATAATAGCAATTAAATTAATAAGTTATTCATTTTAATAAAATATAATTAATTAATTAGTGATTAAGGGATGAGATTAGAATAATTAGAAACGAAAAGATTTAAATTTCATACTTATCAGACTTTTATAATTTTCTTCACTCGTTATAAAAAAAATGTTAAAAAAATTAGATTAATTGACCCGACTTTTCTTAATTGGCATAGAATCGTACAGAATTTAATGTATCTTTCTTTTCGAAAAACTAAAGTATCTAATTCATGTATATTAATGCATTAAATTTTTATATTAATTATATTTGTTATTTAATTGAAATTATAAGAAAGGAGGAAAAAAACCAAATTCAGAATTTCAGATCCTATCATTAAATCAGGTTCGACCATAATAAATGTGGATTGAAAAGATAATGAGTGTTGGAATTTTATGTGATTTTATTTGTGAAAAGATTTATTTTCATAGACATTAAAAATTGTTAATATTTTATTTACTTAATATTTAGATTAAATTTTATTTTTCACTCCTCTATTTACGACACTCTATAGTTTTGAATAATTTAATTTAAAATAAAAATATATAATTATTTTATTTTTAAAAATATAAAAATTTTAATTTTATCATAAATTTGATATTTATTGATAATTAAATTTTAATATTATTTATTCATCTATTATCACTTTAGTCAAGTAATATTTAATAATATATAGAGATAAAAATTATATATATATATAAATTTTTTTATATTTATTTTAAAGAGTAGTTGATATTTATTTTATTTGTAAAATATTTTTGAATGATTTTTTAAAATTTTTTTCACTTGTAAATATCATGCTACTAAATATTACATCATTTCAATATAAATAAATATTAAAATTTAACAATCAATTAATTTCAAAATTTTATATTTTTAAAATTAAAAAATTAAATATATTTATTTAAAAAATATAGGATCAAAATTACATAATAAAAAATAGAAGATGAAAAGTATAATTTAATTTAATATTTAGAAAAATGAATCCTAAATTAATCGACTATCATATATAATTTTAAAGCTAAATTAGATTCTCATCCCCGAAAATTTAACGTAACTATACTCGATATCTCCCGTTTTTATGACTTTACATAAATATTTTTCAAATTTATAAAATAACGTACCATTTATATCCTTCTCATTAACATTTAAATTTCTCAATTTCTAACGTTTTATACCATAAAAACGCATCAAATGTATTTTCATTGAAATTCAAAAGATGCAGCTATAATTTATTACAATTTTGACACAAAAGAATCCCACCAAAACACACTCACGGAAGAATCAGCTGTTTGTATGACAATCTCTTTTATTAAATGTAACAAAACATTTTACTTTATTTTAGTCAATGATTTAGGAATATTCAGTAATAGGAAAATATAAAAATTAATAATTACATTGAATATAATTAATAATCAATAATTAATTATTATTTTAAAAACAATTAAACACAATCACATGTTCGGAGCTGTCTAATAATTAAGGTTGAGAAAGAGCTTAGAACTAGAAGGTGTTAGAATATTCTCTTATTCTCTTAATTGTTAACTTGACAGCAACTTCTCTGTCCTTTCTTCCACCTTCTTAGTTATAACGCCTTCATCATTGCACCACAAAAATAAAGATCACAGAGCAAAGAAAGAAAGAGAAAAAAAAAAAAACAGTGAGAAGAGAAAAACCATCTCACATCATCTTGCAGGTAAATTGAGACTACCCATGTCACTTTTCTTCTGTATTTTCTCTGAGATATCTTTGGATCTTCATTATTGTTCTCCTTGTTTGAAAATTTGAAAGCTTGGTTCATTTTTGCCTTGAAAGACTGAAGCTTTTCGATTTTCTTTTCATGGGTTTTGAAGTGATTTTTTTTCTTTTCTGAAGTTTGTTTCACGAGAAAAATCGTTCACCATGGTGTCGGGGATTTGAATTTTATGCACTCCGAGTGTAGTCATATTTTCTGCTAGTAGTAATTTGGATCCTCTCATATCTTCTTCCATGAGAATGAAAGACACAAAAATAAGAGTAAACCACCGTTTTGGTCTTCAGAGTGTAAAGCTTTGTCTCTTTGTCAGATTAGTCTCTAATTTTTTTTTTAAAATCAAATAAATCCTTTAAGTTTCCAGTTTCATCTAAGATGTTTATATTATCATTTAAAATTGTCTTGGATTTATTTAAAATATTCTTAGTTTCAGGAATTAGTTTCACAATTTATTCCAAAAATAATTATAACGTGTGTGGTTTGTTAAACTTCGTTTTTGTAACATGAGAGGACCTAAGTGCATGTTCAGTAAATTTTTCATAATAATCATTATTTTTATTATATTTTCAAAATAAAATTATAAGAAAAATTATTCATTTTTAAATCCAAATTTCTGGTTTAGGTGAATGGTTGTTGTTTTGATGAGTTAAGCTGTGTTTGTCTCTCTCTTGGTGAGGGGTGTGTGGTTGTTTATTTTTGCTTTTTTTTTTCCTCTTTACGACAAGTTGGCATTTTTTATTTTATTTTTTCCTTTTGTTCTTATAATTGTTTTATTTTAGAAGATTTCGTTGCTAATATTTAGAGACAAGGACTTGACATGTGACACAAGCATGAAAATAGGTAGATGGGTTGCTGAAGTTAGGTAACGATTATAATGGAAAGTGGAATTACATGCATGTAGAAAACGATGCCAAACCAGTTATAGTTATACTTATCTATTTGAAACCTTCTTTGAATGTTATCCTCCTTCTCAATTGACATTAAGCTGTCTCAATTTTAGAAGATTAACTTTAGCAGATGAGTAAGTACTTGATTTCTGTGTGAACTCCATAACAGAATGCAGGTTTCCTGTGTTTACATATTCCATTTTTATGAATCTCAAGTCCATTATGGTTTTATTGTGTAGCTGCATGCTTCTGTCCTCAGCTGATTGATTATTTGATTAAATTATATTTCTTCTGCATAATGTATTGCTATCTCTTGTTTGGATTAAATCATAGATTTCTGTCATAGGTGTTTAAACTTGTTTTTCTTTGTTATGAATCATTTATTCTTAAAAACTCTAGAAACAACAATACTACTTCAGAGAACTGTAATTGATGTACTAAATACGGTCTTTGAAACCATTTCTGTTTAAATATGATAACAAGTCACCTAATGGTTTTTTGGTTTTGGGGATAGTTAAAGACTGACATCTGAAGGAAGTTATTGTTATGCTGGTTATGTGCTAAAAAGTTTCGTATGATTCATTCAGGAGATTAGATTCTAAGTTTACTTATTAAATTTGCTCATCTTTCTTTCAGGTGTGTATTTCATTATATATTCTGCTTCTGAGTAATTGGAAGGCTAACCAGGTGCTGCTTCGTTCCTTAATTTCATATTCTTCAGGGTTCTCTAGTGTCATCACACAAATCAGGGAATGCTGAAAGATGTGCTTGGTAGTTAAAATCTCCTTCACTGAGGCTAATGAATTCGTGCCTACATCTGAGCTAGCCTCGTTCAACCTTGATGCCATTGGATGTTTAGTCCACTGCTCATATTTATTTTGTGCTCAAGCGACTGAGGTGCCTAGAAATCTCAGCCTTTCAAAACATGATGTTTGTGAAGACGGTTGAGCTTTGAATTTCTTGAGTAGCAGTTTCCTGCTTCTGAACGAGTGATTGCCTGTACTTAGTACTATTTATATTGGCATTGGTTTACACGACAGTGTTTCTAGAAATGGAGCAAAAAGGAGGTGTGCTTATGCAAAGATATGAACTGGGAAGATTATTAGGCCAAGGAACCTTTGCGAAGGTTTACCATGCTAGGAACCTCATAACTGGCGCGAGTGTGGCCATTAAAATTGTTGATAAGGAGAAGATTCTGAAAGTTGGGATGATTGATCAGATCAAGCGCGAAATTTCAGTGATGAGACTAATCAGGCATCCACATGTGGTTGAGCTTTACGAGGTAATGGCCAGCAAAACCAAAATTTACTTTGTAATGGAGTATGTAAAAGGTGGTGAGCTCTTCAACAAGGTATCCAAAGGAAAGCTCAAGCAGGACGATGCAAGGAGATATTTTCAGCAATTGATCAGTGCTGTTGACTACTGCCATAGTAGAGGTGTGTGCCATCGCGATCTGAAACCTGAAAACCTTCTACTGGATGAAAATGGGAATTTGAAGATCTCAGATTTTGGGTTAAGTGCCCTTGCTGAAACTAAGCACCAAGACGGATTACTCCATACTACATGTGGTACCCCTGCCTATGTTGCACCAGAAGTGATAAACAGAAGAGGCTATGATGGTGCCAAAGCTGATATATGGTCATGTGGGGTGATCTTGTATGTTCTATTGGCTGGTTTTCTTCCATTTAGAGACCCAAATCTGATGGAGATGTACAGGAAGATTGGCAAGGGAGAATTCAAATTCCCTAACTGGTTTTCACCAGATGTACGCAAATTGTTGTCGAAAATCTTGGATCCAAATCCTAAGACCAGGATATCAATGGCCAAAATCATGGAAAATTCTTGGTTCAAAAAGGGGTTAGAGAAGCCCACCATTACTCAGAGCAAAGATGAAGAAGTAGCTCCACTGGATGCTGATGGAGTATTTGGAGCTTGTGAAAATGGAGGTCCTATTGAACCACCAAAAGACTCAAAACCTTGCAATTTAAATGCTTTTGACATCATCTCCTATTCCTCGGGTTTTGACTTGTCCGGTTTGTTCGAGGAGACAGATCGAAAGAAAGAATCGCGATTTACATCTGACAAGCCAGCCTCAATTATCATCTCTAAGTTGGAGGAAATTTGTAATCGTCTTCGGTTGAAAGTGAAGAAGAAAGGTGGAGGTTTGTTCAAGTTGGAAGGTTCCAACGAAGGAAGAAAAGGGCCTTTGGGCATTGATGCTGAGATTTTTGAGATCACCCCAGTTTTCCATCTAGTGGAGTTGAAAAAGACTAGTGGAGATACATTGGAGTACCAAAAGCTTTTGAAACAGGAAGTTAGGCCTGCTCTTAAGGACATTGTTTGGAACTGGCAAGGAGAACAACCACAGCAATTGCAACATGTAGTGCAGCAAGAGGAGCAACCTTCATATCCTGGCATATCAGAGATTGTACCACAACCAACTGCCTAATGAATGTTATGTCCCTAATAAACTGGTTTTTGTATTGTATTTGATTTATTTTAGACTTCGTTTTGTTCTTGGTTTAGTGCACATTGTCATGTTGATAGTTGTCACAAAATAAGGTGGTTAAGCATGTATAGACGCTTAGTTTGTTTAATTAGTTGCATATTTGACCATTTGGGTCTTTTGTTCTCTGTATCGAGTCTATTGACTATGTTGGAAATGACATTTGCATTTTGCGGCTTAAATGGTTTCACAAACTGCTTGAGCATGTCTTTGTCTGCTACACTTCTTCAAGATCCCTTGTTTATATTGTCAGTGGAAAATAAGGTCAAATTTAATTTATAAATTTCTTCTTTTAAGATTATTAATTTATAGGAGCATCTTATGATGGTTTTTTGTCCCAAAACCTTAAATTGAGACTCCTTTTCCTTGTTTCCTTCCATTCCTTGATCAGCAACTCTCTTGCCAATGGTAACAAGTCATGAACTAATTATCACATAGCCTTTACATGAAATTATTTATGGATAAGGATTATAAATTCTGAAATTTGTAATTTTTAAAAAGGTTTAAATATATTTTTAATTCTTCAAATTTAAAATAAATATATTTTTAGTCTCTTAAATTTAAAATTAATTTTTTTAGTCTTTATAATTTTAAAAATATTATTTTAATTCTTAGGAAGTTTGTCAAATCTATTTATTGGTGTCTTTATTAGTGATAAATTACATTAAATCCAACCGATTGATACATAATTATCTCAATTTGTCATTTTTAGATATGTTATTATTGATTTAAAGAGTTAAAATAAAATATTTAAAAATTATATGGACTAAAAATAATAATTTTAAATATAAAAGAAAAAAATAAATTTACTCTAAATTTAAGGACTAAAAACACATTAAAATTTTTCTAAGAATAATTAAAATTTATTTAATTAGTCATAAATATTTTTAAGAATTTATAAATATTATATGAGAATAATTTTTTTAAAATAAAATAAAGATAATATGATATTTTTTATTACATTAAAATTTTTCTTTTTAAATTGGGAATGTAATGATTTTCTACTTCCTCTTATAAAAATAATTTCATCAAAAAAAATTTGTAATATGCATTTTCAAGAAACAATATTTAAGGTTTTGAGAATGTTTCTTAAGAATTTATGTTATCTTTTAAATAACAAAATTTAAATATGAGAAAATAACTTTTTTTTTTTAACTTTAGATTCTACGAGTATGCAAAATTTTCGTGGCCGGTTAGGAATGGAGCATGTAAAATACAACTTTCATGTGATGTGTTGAAAGTAGATTTTATTCAAAAGAAAGAAGGAAAGTGACAGATTTGAACTTGTTACTATTTGATTATATTAAAAAGAACTTTGATTATTGTATCAAAGCATTCTTTTCAAAATCTTAAGTCGGTAAGTGGTGAAAAGACACATGGATGATTTAAAAATTTTAACTAGAAGCAACTCTTAGAGCAATATTTGAGTCATTCATCAATGCATGCATGCAAGATAACATGGAGATTTATCAAATATTATAATTTTTTTTTTGTGCTGAACGAATTCAAATTAATGTCTTACAAAAGAATGTTATAATTTAGGTTTAACTTTAGGCTAAGATCACTTGAAAAGTTTAATGTTTCATTCGTTCCGGAGGATTATAGAAGGAAGGATTTAGAAAGGAAGAAAAATTAAAACAATAATTTTTTCACATTTTACTTGTTTACTTCATTTCTTTTCTTTCATATTTTACACAACTAAATAAGTAATATGTTTTTTTTTTATTTCTTGCTCTCTACCTTTTTTTTTCACTTTCTTTCTTTAACTAAATTCATAAATGAAAAAAATGTGTTTTATTTGTGAAGAGAATACAAAATTGCATTATTTATTATCGAAAGGCACTTAATTGCTTTAGAAATGTTTGTCTTATGCCACAAATTCAGATTCACTTGTTTCCTGTGATTCTTCCATATTTTTTTTATCCCTTTTGCCATAAAAGAAAAGTATGAATCTGAAAGATCTGTGATGTGAAAATATCTAGATTGTTATTGCTTTGAGAAGAGACGTCACAGTTCTTCTTAATGATTGAAAAAGAAAATTGTAAATGTTAATATTTTATTTCAATATTCTATGAGTCAAAAATCATATATCGTTTTTTCAAGAAAAAAAAAACACTTGTCTTTATATATTATAATAAATATGAATAAGTAGGGAAGATTTTTATTGCAAAATTGGACGATGGAGGAGGTACACGACTTTGGAAGGGTCGAGGACTCCAGGGGTAATAAAAAGATTGGAAAAAAAACGTATAAAAAAGGCTTAAATATATTTTTAGTCCCTCAAATTTAGGGTAAATTTATTTTTGGTCCCTCAAATTTAAAATTATTGTTTTTAGTCTTATAATTTTAAAAAATCTTATTTTAATCCTTATATTCAAATTTTGTTAAAAAATTTATCAAACATTATTGCATAAAGTCTACCTATTGGTGTCCTATTAGTGAAAATATCACATTAAATCCGTTGATATTACAGAACTGTTTTAATTAGTCACTTTCAAATATGTTATTAGTGACCTAAGGGACTAAAACAAGATTTTTGAAAATTACAGGACTAAAAATAACAATTTTAAATTTGAGGGACCAAAAATAAATTTGTCTTAAATTTGAGGGACTTAAAACATATTTAAGCTTATAAAAAATTACACAATTAAATCTCCCAAATTCTCTCATTTTTAAAATTGATTTATCGTGACAATTGTTAAAAAATAATTAATTGTTTTAATTTTTAAAATAAATTTATTTAAATAAATACTTTTTTTTTGCTAAGCAAAATTGAATTAAATAAGAGAAATACAAGAAATATTCTAACCCATATACATAACATAACCAAAGTAAGCAGTGGACCTCTGATATCAAGAGGTGTTTAATAAAAATAACACAATAACTACATACCTCCTAAAATTAATTTACAATCATCATACAATAAAAACTTTACACGAATAGATGAAACAACCAAATTAGCAATTCAAAAAGACTATCAACTACAAAGTGAAACCAATCATCATTGTCATAAGCATGTTGCAACTAAGTCAGAATCACACCCGATTTAAATAAATACAGTTGTCATGACTAACCATGACAGTTATTAAAAAGTAATTAATTTGAGATTTGCTGTCACAGTTAAGCGTGGTGTAATAAAAAGAATAATTATTTTTATGATTTAATTGTTTTATAATTAATATAGTTATAACGTAATAAATAAATTGTTGATGAAAATGCAAAGATGTGAGACTATTGTGAGACCCATTATAGAAGTGTTTGGGTTAAAATTGTTATTATGTCAGGTACTTAAAACAGTCGTTTATATTAAAAAAGTAAAAACGAGTTATGTGTATATTTTTTAATTAATAAAAATTATAATGATGACAAAATAATTTGAATTTAGAATTATATGTATATATTATTGTAATTGTTAATACTAGACTAATTCTAGTAATTTGAGTAATGCGTATATATGAGATCCATTTAGAACCCAAAATTAATTCTTGAGATGCAAATGTTCTTACATACAAAATAAATAAATAAATTATTCAATAGTAAATTAATTATACGAAACATTTATAACTTTGATAATTATTTTAAAAAGTTACATCAAAATTGATTTTAAAAATTGTATTGATTATAAAGTAAATATATGCTAAAATTTCGGTGATACATATCTATTCAAGTATTCTTTTAATACTTGTAACCCTAAAAAAATAACATTAATATTAAAATATTAACCAAAACATTAGATCTTTTTAATATTACAGTTTTTATTATTTCATTAAAAAAAAAAGTAAATTCTTAGGATTCAAATGAAAAATTAGAAAAACAAGAAAAAGAGAGAAGTTAGGCCAATCAACTTTGTTATATTACGTTTTCTAAGTCTACTTTGAGTACATTTTCTTCTTGGACTTATGTATATATTATATGATTTCTCGGAAAACAATAATATTATTTATTGTACCCCATCCAAAAATGAAACTGCTTTGGAGAAAAAGTATCACCAAAAATGTTTTTATTAAAGACAAAGGAATCCTCCATAATATTTTGCCTCGTGATATATACACTTCCATTTTTTTTAAGTATACTTCCTTTTTTAATTTTTTTTAAAATATTATAATTTTTTTAAAAAAAAATTAATTTTACACTTTCAACTTTGTTATTTTCTTCTTCTTATTCATACACTTTTTTTTTTCTCTTTCAATTTTCACATGTTACCAAAATTGAAAAAAGGAGGAAAGATGTGTGAAAAAAAAATACTAAAACATTTGTTTTAGATGTAAAATTAAAAAATTTAAAACAAAAAATTAAGAATATTTTAAAATTTTAATTATTTTTTTAAAAAGGATGTGTACTTGTAGAAAAAAGGAGGTGTATATATTATGAACCTAATAATTTTTGCAAATTTAGTCAATTCCGCCTAAACCGACATACAAAATCTGGCCCATTTCCTACGTTTTTGGGCCTTTGGTTTAATCGGGTTATGTTAGTTGGTTTACGGGTTGTTTATTTTGGGCCTGATAATCTTGATAAACTTTTTTTTTGGGTTTTGCAGTTTTTTCAAGTTTCTAACCACGTATTCAAAATCTATATAATTATACATTTGACCTTCCTTTTTAACTGTAAATAAAATGACCAAAAGGTCCAAAGACCAATGGTTATATTTATTATTACTAGATTTTAACGGTAATAAATTAATTAAAATAGTATATCATCTTTACATGTTTTAATTATATTTATAATGATCGTAAGGGAATTTACATTGAAAAGTATAATTAAAATAGTATATCACATTTACATGTTTTAATTATATCACATTTCCAACCAACATTGAAATTACAACTACCGCTTATACAAATTTAACTAACTAAAAAATTAGATTCTCCAATTGCCAACATCATTTGGCACCAAAGATACCATTATTGAAGACTTTTTCATCTTTGGCACCTAATAAGATAAGATAAGAAACATAGAACAAGCTCAAAAACATTGTCTTTCAAATTTGTACATTGGTCTGTGTACAAGATATTTCCTTCACTACATAAACTATCAAACTCTTACTAAATTATAATACCCTATTTTTAATTTTGATAGTGACTAAAAAGGTTTGTTTATGTCTGTGTTACTCACATGAGTTGCCTGAGATTCAAGTCTGAATACAACTTTGATCTTGTTCTTCATGCTCCATGACTTGAACATGTTTTCAAGTTGACAACTTCTTT